GGGGGTGCAATTCTACTATAGAAAGACTGACATGCATTTTATTAGATAATGAAAAAATATGTACTCCCTCCATTTGTTTTTAACTATTCAATTCACTTTTGTGTTGAATGTTTGACTAATAATATCTCATAAAATATTTTCACAAAAAATATTCAAAATGATGCATTAAACATTCTTTTTATACTAATATTAGGGTGTAACTTTTATATTTTAATTCATTATTTATTTTTTATACTTATAGTTACTAGTTAGTCAAATATTCAACACGTTATACAAATCGAACACTTAAAAAGGTAAAAAGGAATGGAGGGAATAGATGGTTTTTAAATTACAGTATATGTCTAGATATACAGTGTTTTACTGCACAAAAGTAATGCAATCTTCATTCACACATTTTTTTGCGCATTGTTCAAATTAGGAAATTGATGGAGACACATTTAATAATTTCTAAAAGATTCATATCATTGCTAATAGAAAAATGCTAGGGATACACCTTTGGTGTACCCCATTTGTCCCTCACCCCCTTCATCACCACAAAAAAAAAAGCAAGAAAAAAAAAATCAAACAAATAAAAATAAAAAAAATTGTATGGTGGAAAAATGGGTGGGGGACAAATGGGATACACCAAATGGTGTACCCTAGCATTCCTCTTGCTAATAACACTACCAATTTCTGAAAGGATAAAATTGCAAAAAAAATCATTTTGTTTTGTACATGCTCAAAACATGATTACATTATAATTTTAGATTTTTAGAATAGGAAAAATTACCCAAAATAATCTTATCTTTACCCGGTCTTTAAAAAATAATCCCACCCTTCACTGTGATGGATAATAATCTCAACTTTATTGAAATTTGCCAGTTTTGAGTCGCCGTTAAGTTTCTAACGGAGGGTTAACGGAAATGCTCGTTTTGGGCAACAAAATGAAAGTTGGGATTATTTTTGATAAATTTTGTTTTTTAATTTTTTTTGAAATTTTTATTTAAAATTTTTGAATTACTTTCAACCTCAATTTCTTTTTCTTTTTTAAAGATTATTCTTACCTTAGAAAAAAATAGATATAAAAATAATGAAAATGAGAAAAAATAACTAAAACCATACAAAATTAATCAAATAAATCATGTAATCAATAGAAATTAAACAGAAACTGGTAAGAAATAAAATAAATATATACGGAGTGGTGGGTTTTAACATTTTACACACTATACGGAGTCTTAATGTACTACTTCTTTCGTCCCAGAGTATTTGTCCACTTTCATTTTTACACATCATCCAATACACTTCTTTAATCCATTTTATCTTGTAATTTGTATATTAAATAATTATAGAAATTATATATTAATAATATATATGCTAAGACAAATCAAACAAAATCACACATGACTATATTTAGGTTTACACATTGAGAGAATTTGATGAGTCAAAGCGCTTAGATAAACAGTTTCAAAAGTCAAAAGTGGATGAATATAACGGGACGGAGGGAGTACTTATTTTTTAAAAGAACAAGCCGTCCTGTAAAGTTGGAATTATTTTAGATGATTTTTTCTAAAAAATAAGTAATGATATGTTAATACTTTGTATAATGCGTAAAATATTAAAACTCACCTGTATATTTTTATTTTACTTTTACCAATTTCAAGTTAGTTTCCGTTGATTACCTTATTTGTTTTATTATTTTTGTATCATTTTAGTTACCTTTCTCATTTTTTCATTTTTAATATCTATTATTTTTATTTTTTAAACTAAGACTAATCTTTAAAAAAGGAAAAAGAAATGACGATGGAGGTAGAAAGTAATTTAAAAAATTTAAATGAAAAATTAAAAAAAATAAAAAAAATGAAAATTCATCAAAAATAATTCCAACTTTCATTTTGTTGCCTAAAATGGGCATTTCCGTTAACCCTCTGTTAAAAACTTAACGGCAACCCAAAACTGACAAATTTCAGTAAAGTTGGGATTATTATGGATCACAATGAAAGGTGGGATTATTTTTGAAAGACCGGGTAAAGTTGAGATTATTTTGGGTAAATTTTCCTTTAGAATATGCACATTTAAGAGTTATCTGGTGCGCATGAAAATACATATAGGATCTATGGTATAATTTGCCAATGCAGGTGTTCATATAATCATATACTCCGTATAAAATTTCCATCAAAAATTTTATGCTCTGTATTTTGAGGTATAATAACAGCGTTTGCCATTAGTTTTCATTTCACATTCAGATGATAAATTTTATTTTTATTTAATACAAATTGTCGTTTTTTGTTTGATAAAATAAAATAGAAGTCACCACTGCTTTGAACTTTTAAATATATACTCCGTAATTTTTTTAATTTTATGTTTATTTTAAATATAATAACTTGGAATTCTTTAGCACATATTAAATTGAAATTAACTTCAACAAAATTTCTTAAATAAAATGGGAAATTCGTTTTTAGAAGGGAAAAAGTATTATGTACTCCTATAAATAAGGGCAAAATATGGCAACTATTTCCAAAATTTATCACAATATAGAATGATTGCATTGCGGCAAAAAATGTAATACTATTTATTGACATTATTTCACAATGTCTTTGGGTATCATATGTTACTCTGTAGTATTATTGCCATTACATTACAATCTTATTTTGGAATAAAAACGTTAAAATTTGATTTTAATTATGTTCTATGTTTTACTCTTCCAATATAAGTCTACCTCTCATATTAGTTGGATACTTGGATTGTTATACACAGGAATTAATATGTTGAAGATAATGAAATATACATGTACTATTAATAATAAAATATTTGACATTCAAAAAAAAATATTTGCAAATAAAGAAATTTAGTCAAATGGGGGTCACAAAGAATTTTTTTTACCTCTTTAAGCTTTCCATTGAACAAATGGTCTTGTAAATACTCCGTGACGCCTGCACCAATTCTAGCGTGCAAAACTCCATAAAACCACCACTCACACTCCTCCACCTCCTCCCGTTGCACCACCACCTCCGCCTCGTCCTCCGCCCATCCGCCGGCGGTCGGAGACCGTCCCTCCACCGCATGGTACCCGTGCGACACCGGCGTCAACCATGAAGGCCTCTTTTTACCAGTAGTGTTATTATTCCCGGCCTTGCCTTTCTTCTTTCTTGGACCGCCGCCATCTCTCTTGAGGAATCTCCCCAGCCCTAAACTCTGCCCACATCAATAAAAGTGTTCTAAAACTTGGAATCTCACTCTTTGTCATCATTTTTTATATGAAACTATTATATATAGAATCAAGAATAAGAAGAGTTTAATATAAATATATTTGTCTAAAATGATGGATAAACGTAATTACCTTGTGCTATAGAACATTGATCTAAATATTTTGAGAAGAGGGGGGAGGGGGGGGGGGGGG